CGACAAGGGCCGTTAACGAAAACCCTCTTCCCCACTAGCAGGCAATCAACCTAGCTGATTTCACACGTTATGCCAGCCACGCACCACTTCCGGAGGTGGGCGGTCCTGGATTGACCAGGCGGCCCTGGATTGAAACCGAACGCCCCGGGGCCTTAACGGGGTTTTTCAAGGTGGGAAGTTGCTGCAATGTGTGCAGCTACCCACATACAACCTCCAGGCACGGGAATTACTTCTCTAGCGTGCCTGAGCCCGACCTTTGCCTTTAAAAAGAGCCATCCCAAGATTTGCTTCTCCAGATAATGCATGCCGTGGCTAGGCAATCTTGCCATTGCCCTGTGATTACACCTAATAAATGTTTAGACAGGTCATCAAAAACAGTGGAAGCTGACATCCCGCGATATAAGGTGCTGCTCACCTTTAGTTTACCTACAGTTGATGACCGTGGTGAGCCTATCTTCCAATTTTCAAGGCAGTGGCTAAATAATGTGAACATTTTTTGTAGTTATTCCTTCTTTTCAGGTTGAATCAGCGCAGAAAGTGGATATCACAATGGAGTATAAAATGGTAAGATGGCATTTCGAAAAGTATCCTTTAGCCATATTTTATTTGAGGCCGACTTCTCAAAGGCAAGGCCACGGATTTCCAGTTGACGAGGTCGAAATTAGGCCTTCATCCGAGAAAAAATAAAGTGGTACCTAAGGGAGGGATGACTTGGAATAGGCTGGAACGCCGAGGCCCTATCATACAGCATTACTGCACCCCCTCCTTCACTCACCACCCCCACAAATCAGTGCGATTTCGCCTTGCCGCTACTGGGGAGGGGACGTTATTTTCGTCTTTGTCCACTTTTTTATTGTTTTTGATTGCTGAAGTTACTCTTTACATCCCCTGTCACATACAAGCGTAATAATACTTCAGTTTGGTCCCGGACTTTGCCTTTAGATACCATGAGAGACGCACACAAACTGGTCCATTCTGAACTATTATAAATTTTAAGCTTTGAAAAAAATCATGGAGTTCGAATTTTTTGGACAACCATTTTTTTTCAAGAATGCCAACGGGTGGCGATAACTTCCAACTTTTATCTGTTTATTTATTTCAACCTGAGTTTCCAGGGCTGGACCGATGAACGACTTTCATGGAATCCAGCAGACTACTGTGGAATCAACGAAATTTATTTGTCGCGAGAGGATGTTTGGGTCCCTGTGGCGTCACTAGTTAGTGTGTGAGTGTTACTTGCAGTTGGTGAAAGTTTCGACAGAAAATTATCTCAGCTCATTCAGGCAATTCACAACGGACTATCGTGAAGACTTCCAAAAGTTCGTTTGGGTATGTCCAACGATTTGGTCACATTATGAAGGCTTTCTCTTGCAAGGGTCCCTGGAGAGAAAGTTAGATGTTACTGGTTCACTAGTGGGTCGAAGAACAACATTTTTGCATCGAGCTTGATCTCCTTTTCAAGATGATCATTTACGCAGTTTTGAATGCACTGCCCCCGCTGCCCTCCTGTGATAGCGCTTCGTCTTGAAGAACTGCGCTCTGGGTCCTATCGACTTTTTGGTATTAAGCTGGGAATTATGATGGTGCCATCTTTGTTAAGCTGCGGATTAAGAGAAAACGCTCGTGCCATCATACTGTCAGAATTGGACAAATTTTAACCTCTGATACATAGTGGACTCACGCAGCTCTTAATTTTACAGTTGAGGCGGGCAGTTCTTAAATTTTCCTAGTCTTGCGATACTACGGTAAAAAACGTGAAAACCTCCGAGTTGTGCCTGGCAACCTATCTCTGACTCTGACAGCCTAAAGAAACCTATACATGGAAAATATTCGGTGCTGGAAGTATTTTTGAAGTGCAGCATTTCAGATGAACAGCTCTGGTTATGTCGAGTTCTTCAGACCCACAGTGACGTCTCTAACATGCAAAATCGGAGTTAGTTATATTTAAATTATTTAAAGCTATTTTATTTACTTTAAAGATAAATATAATATTTGACAGCTGAGCAAATCGCAGTGATCAGTGATGGCTACTCGCTCTTCAGGGCAGAGTAGAATGAAGCGTCATCCAGGCATTCTGGGCTTTTTCGCCCCTTTAGGTTCTACTTATGACAATTTGACATAAGACTAATTTATTTGTTAATGGAAAGAACCAGTCGATGAAGCTTGACCATAAGTCGAACATAGATAACTCACATCACTCGATTCTTTGAGTGAGCATTCCCCCCCCCTCCACTCCGTGTGTGTGTGAGGAAGCTACATCAAGGCCCATCCATGTAACACCTTTGAAGGCTCGAAAGCACGTGAGTCGTTTTTGTGTAGCTGGGATACGCTGCAGCTTCTCGTCCTCCTAAATAGGCAGAATGTCTGCGTCCTCTCTTAAATTCAATCTCTCACCCTGTTTTGTGCTTAGCATCTCTTGTTCGTAGTACAGTCCATATGACAGAAATAAGTAGGTCCTGAGTTTTAATATTTCCGATGACTTTTTCCACTCTTACGTCCATTTTTGAGTGAAATAACCTAACCTCTCACTTCATGTGCATTTCATTGTCACTACAGTGATGGCTTCAAGCCATCTGCATGGGGCTTGTCGAGATGATGAGCCAAAGCCTCCTTTTTAACTCATCGACTCCCCATCAGGGTCAACGTCACGTTCGAACATTTTCGAGGATTTTTGCGACTCCCTCTCTCGAGGGGGTCCAGTTGCGACCCCCTGTTTTGGTAATGAGAGTGCTAAGTGTGTTTTTGGTACTAAGCGTGCTGTGAAATATTTATTTCACTCAAAGACAATGAGGGCGGAAGTGGTGACAAGTGGCACGCTTACCACGCGAGCGGTCCGGGGATCAAATCCTGGGTCGTGAGTCGCCCGGGCCAACCAAGCCTTCCATCCCTCCGGGGTCGGTTAATTGGTACCAGACTTGTCTGGGAGGATAAAAACACTGACTTGTACATCGGCTGGCCCCCGCAAGTCATTGTATAGGCCACATCGCATTCAAACGCCACTACGAATGTACAAATGGAAGTAGAATGCGTGCCGCATCCCAAAAGGGATTGATCAACGGCAAATGCTTTAACTCCCAGAAGGGATTGATCGACGGCAATTGCTTTGTCCTTTATCCTTTAAAGACAATGAACTTCATTCATCTGAACATTGAATTTTTTTCAAAAATTCAAAGTTCCTTCATTTTAGAATCTTATGCTTCAATTTTCTTCTACTCGTCTTCCTTTTTTTAGTCGAGGATTGCTTCATTTTGGCAGTTCTCCAACTGTGGCTGCTCCAAGGAATATGGCTGTGGCTGCTCCAGGGTATACGGTGCCGTCGTGATATTCTGTCTCCTCACACATTGATAGCGTCGCCTGACGCGGATCTTAAGAAATTTTTATCAAATATATTAATTTATAGTTGTATTCAAGAGTAATAAAATTATAAAGGATTTTCATCAACAACTCACCACAATCACTACGTTAGGCCCAAAACGCAAACAATGTGAGGGTTGGCCTCTGGCAGAATGCCTTG